TATATATATATATATAAACTATTCTTAACAAACTTACAATTAAAATTTTTGGAATTTTAATTCGGGTTGAAAATTTCTCAATAAAAAAATTACTTCAAAATTAGTGTCATGTCTCGAAATTTATAGGATTTAGTGATGATGGATCAATAATAATTTAGAACAAATAATCATCAAACAAGCCTTTGATTAAGCTCTTAATAAGCTAAACTATTTATTAAACAAATAACGATTATCCTCTTCAATATTGATGAGATAACAAGCTATTATTAGTTAGTATTTTATTAGACAATTTTTAAATAATTCTTTTAAATTCATTTAATTATTCCACAAATGAGATAAATAAAGTTTACATGAACAACCCCAGTGCATTATATCTTCTACATACAACCCTATATGAATAATTATTTTCTAGTTTAATATATTACAAACATTCCTCTTTTTTTATCACCACTAAGGCCTCCTTTGACCCATTGTTGTCGTTGAAAAAATTTCGTTTAAAAGCTACAGCTCAAAAAACTACGTTAAAAAACTACGATCCGGTGAACCTGATCGATGTTTGAATAAGAATTTCGCCGTGACATAGGTCAGAACACCATAACGAAGAAACACAATCCAGAACACCAGAGCAGAGGGACCTCCTAGCGATCTATAAACGCACTTCCTTGGAAGTTTGTCGGCCAAACGAGCTCCCGATGTTCTTCTGATAATGAAAAAGAGCCCTAACTATAGAGAAGACGAGGCCGTCTTCCCAACACAGCAATGCGATGCCAATAATAGGCATGATGCTCATGACCAGGAAACATAAAGCCGAACTTTTTTTCGCCGAGCATTAGCTGACTCAAGAAAACCTGGGCGGTCGGAGTCCACGCAACCACCGCTGCCATCTTCTCTATGCGCTCGCAGGCCCTCCGGTCAAACGGCGGCGCTGGTGCTTCTATCTCGTACTCGTATTCATCTTCCACTTGTTTCCCAACCTCTTCTTCTTCTTCTAATTCCTCCATGGTTATTAGTTCTGAGAGTTAGATGGAGAAGATTGGTGGAATATATAGAGAGGAAGGGGATAGAAGTTGTGGATATGAAGAGGAGCTTGTGATTGTAGGAGAAAAGAAGGCTTTAGGCATTTAGTGGAGCACGAGAAGCTTGTTTGTTGGGGCGTTTGGATGTCAAATCAAATTTAAAAAGGCTGCTTTTGAAATTTAATGACCTGAAATTTCCCATTAAATTAATATAATTTGAGAAATTAGGTTAAGAGGTCGTTTTACGTATCAAAATATCAGCAATTTTGATCCTGGAGCGAGTGTTTATTTAAGGCTCGAATTATCTTTGTGTTACCGTGCAGATTTTTGTTTGGGGAAAGAGAAAGAGTATTTTCAAACTTTTCTAGAAACTGTTTCGCAAGAAAGATAATTTCTCACAATATTAGATATTAGCCGCCAACAATTTGACTTTCAATGGTATTTCACTGAATAAGGAAGCTTTTTCAAATGATGCTTAAGGGCCTGTTTGGGGCAGCTTATAAGTGCGGGCGGTGTTTTGAAAACGCCGCCAAACCGTTTGGTTCGCACTTATGAACAAATTATTAAAAAAACGTGTTTTTAATTATCTAAAACACACGGACCGTAAGCTGACCCCCGCGGTCCGCGTTTCGCGATTTTTTTTTCCGCATTAACCCTCGGGCGAGCTACTCGTGACATTGCCTTTTTCCTTCCTCTTCTGCGACCTCTCTCGCTTGTTCGAAGCCGCATCTCCCTCCTCGCCCTCCCGGATCTACTCCTCTCGCTCTCCTGGAAGCCGATCTTCTCCTCTCGCCTCCGTCGAAAGTCGGATCTTCTCCTCTCGCTGCCGTCGAAAGCCGGATCTTCTCCTTCGCTGTCGTCGAAGCTGTTTCTTCCATCCGCGCCCTCCCGTCGTAACCGGATCTACTCCTCTCGTTCTCCTCGAAGCCGGATCTTGTCCTCTCGCTGCCGTCGAAAGCCGGATCTTCTCCCTCGCTGTCGTCGAAGCTGTATCTTACATCCACGCCCTCCC